ACATAGGTGGTGGTTGAGGAATTAAGTGCACATTAATTTAGTAATTTTTTTTGAAAGTTTACATGTTAAATTATGTCAAAAATTTGTAAAATTTTAAACCGCCAAACCGATCGCATCCATCCGCCAATCCGCCAATCCGCCAATCCGTCAAAAATTTGTAAAATTTTAATTTCGTTACGTATTGTCTTTTTTACTAACTCTATTTCAATGTTCTGTTTTTGTTTGTTATAGGTCCTCAATTTCTCCATCTTAACGTAGAAGTAAAGCTATACCTCCTCCATCCCTTCGTCTCTAGCGGTTGCATTAGCAGGTGTGTTTTTTAATTTATTTGCTTTTAATTAATAGCAGGGCACTGGCGGGTGTGCTATTTTATTTATTTGCTTTTAATGAATAGCAGGGCACTGGCGGGTGTGCTATTTTATTTATTTGCTTTTAATGAATAGCAGGGCACTGGCGGGTGTGCTATTTTATTTATTTGCTTTTAATGAATAGCAGGGCACTGGCGGGTGTGCTATTTTATTTATTTGCTTTTAATGAATAGCAGGGCACTGGCGGGTGTGCTATTTTATTTATTTGCTTTTAATGAATAGCAGGGCACTGGCGGGTGTGCTATTTTATTTATTTGCTTTTAATGAATAGCAGGGCACTGGCGGGTGTGCTATTTTATTTATTTGCTTTTAATGAATAGCAGGGCACTGGCGGGTGTGCTATTTTATTTATTTGCTTTTAATGAATAGCAGGGCACTGGCGGGTGTGCTATTTTATTTATTTGCTTTTAATGAATAGCAGGGCACTGGCGGGTGTGCTATTTTATTTATTTGCTTTTAATGAATAGCAGGGCACTGGCGGGTGTGCTATTTTATTTATTTGCTTTTAATGAATAGCAGGGCACTGGCGGGTGTGCTATTTTATTTATTTGCTTTTAATGAATAGCAGGGCACTGGCGGGTGTGCTATTTTATTTATTTGCTTTTAATGAATAGCAGGGCACTGGCGGGTGTGCTATTTTATTTATTTGCTTTTAATGAATAGCAGGGCACTGGCGGGTGTGCTATTTTATTTATTTGCTTTTAATGAATAGCAGGGCACTGGCGGGTGTGCTATTTTATTTATTTGCTTTTAATGAATAGCAGGGCACTGGCGGGTGTGCTATTTTATTTATTTGCTTTTAATGAATAGCAGGGCACTGGCGGGTGTGCTATTTTATTTATTTGCTTTTAATGAATAGCAGGGCACTGGCGGGTGTGCTATTTTATTTATTTGCTTTTAATGAATAGCAGGGCACTGGCGGGTGTGCTATTTTATTTATTTGTGCTGTCTTTTTTATTTATTTGTTTATTTTAATTGATAGCAGGGCACTGGCGGGTGTGCTATTTTATTTATTTGTGCTGTCTTTTTTATTTATTTGTTTATTTTAATTGATAGCAGGGCACTGGCGGGTGTGCTACTTTATTTATTTATGCTGTCTTTTTTTATTTATTTGTTTATTTTAATTGATAGCAGGGCACTGGCGAGTGTGCTATTTTATTTATTTGTGCTGTCTTTTTTATTTATTTGTTTATTTTAATTGATAGCAGGGCACTGGCGAGTGTGCTATTTTATTTATTTGTGCTGTCTTTTTTATTTATTTGTTTATTTTAATTGATAGCAAGGCACTGGCGGGGGGGCTATTTTTTTTTTTTTTGCTGCCTTTTTTTTTTTTTTTTTTTTTTTTTTTTTTATC